ATGATGACAAAATGAACTGTTTGACGATTTAACGTCCCATCCTCAAAGTGCTGATGTTTTCCTGTTTCACTGATTTCCTGAGAATACAAGTAGTTTTGAAAAGTGTCAACAATTAAGTTGGTGAGTTCATAAGAGTTTTGTTTGAGGAAGAAACCGTTTTCCTTGTAAAAGCGATAGAGTATGATTTCCAGAAAATCCAATATTTTCTTAGTTAAGTGTGAAATGAATGCTCCTATGTTATGCGATAATGAACCCTAGAACGACCCGTAGATTCCTCCTATAATCGCCCAGCGTATATAAGTTATATAAAATTCAAGTTAAATAAACCGTTGAATGTAATGGGTCTGCCCTAGGTCCACAACCAAACAAGGAACAAGAGATAAGGCGGGCCCACAAATTCTAAGTCGATTGTGACTAGATTCTTATATAACTCTAGCATATACACTTAGCAATTATAGCTGAAATCTAACAATTCTAGATGAAATGTAGTTTTAACAGAAATATGTTTCCAAAGAAAATCCTATATTTTCTTTATAAAAGTTATGTGGTCCTAAATCCCAGGACCGAAAGTAAACAAGTATTTTCCATACTCAAAGTGATTCATGCAAGTTTAAATCGACATAAACTCGTTTGATTTAGAGGTAAACCCTTTTTCAAAGTAGAATTTTCCATGTAAACTTGAAAGATTGTTAACTACCTATGTGAGTCGCTATAACCATACTATGACGAGAAATAACCTGCACAACGTCTTTCAGACGTTAAGATACTATGACTCTTGTCACCCGTAGACCTGCAGGTCCCGCTGTAGCTAGCAGCAAGGTGTGGGGTGTCAAACCCAATATAGATCTATACACAATTATCACGCTCTCCCTACAAGAGACTCTGGTTATAACTTACAGGAATTGGGATCCCGTACTCGAACGTACGGGGAGAGAATTGCCTCACAACCTAAGTTAACTAGTTTACACATAGTTTGATATTAAAACCTCTTCCGGGGAGGAAGTAAAATCACCTTTTCTGAATAAATAGTGATATGAAATCCTTAAACTATTACTATTATAGTTTATCACGTGGGATATGAAAAACCCATTTGTTTTGAGAGTAAAACCTTTTTCATGTAGTAAAAATCCATAAACTATGCTTATTGTAGTTTATTATATGTGTTCGAAATAAATGAAAAACCTTATCATGAATGACCAAATTTCAGTTTATGATGATAAGCTAACAAGAAAATACATTCAATATTTAGAACTTATTGTTATACACTTTGCTCAACATAATACAAAGTGTTATGAAAGTTATAAGCTGTTAACTAGTTTTTAACCGTTCTGCACTGTTTTAGAAAAATCATAGAAAAATCATACGAAGTCGAAAACTGAATCCGTAAATTCTGAGAGTTCATAAAATGTGTCTAGTTTGTTCATAATTTTTATTATGATTTTTGGAAGTTTTAACTTGTGTTAAAATGTTCATATTCACAGACTGGTCCGAATTCGTTTCTGACATGATAGACAGTTTTGTAAAAATCACCATAAATCGTAGAAAAATCGTATGGAGATGTGCAAGTAGTCATTTTAAAGGTATGAAGCTGAACTATTTGAATATTAAACAATTTTGAAAGATATTAAGTTTAAGATAGTCAAAACATTCCGTGAATAAGACTCAACTTTTCTGATGAAAGCTGTTGTTTGAGTTTAGTTGTGTTCTTGGTGTTTTAACTTGTATTCCCCCCTTAAAACTTAGAAAAACATGAAAATGTAGGGGTATGAACTCACCTTGAGTGATTTCAGTAGATGGATGATGGAGAAAAGAAGTGTTCAACTCAAGAACGCTTGGGAGATGCTTGAAGATGTGAAGATCTAACAACAAATATGACGATATTTGTGTAAGCAATCTATGATTTGGATGAAGGATAGTAGAATATCTAAGTGTAGGAGGAAGATACTTACCAAATGTAGAAGAAAAGCTTGGAGAATAGCCTTGAATCTCGAAATCTAGAGAGAGGAAGTGAGAGAGAATGAAGTTTGTCACTTGGAGGAAAATGAGAGTAATGTGAGGAGAGAGGAAGGTTTTCCAGCTCTTGACCAAGTGTGTGGCTGAAAAATGGTGGGAAAAGTACTATGGAATGACTAGGTATGGTGGAAGGACAAGGGGTTGTACTATGAAGGTATGGGGAGGTTGCTTGTGTCCTTGTCCAAAGGATAAGTTAACACTCCACCTAAATATCTCACTAAATAGATTTTATTCTTAGTCAATGATTTTCCCCCAAAATATATTCAAAATATGAATATTTAGGGTTTATTATGTTAAAATACGAGTTTGGGTGAAAATCCCGCGTTAAAATCACGAAAAACGGGCTTAAAACGCTAAAAATATTGAAAACCGGGTAGGAATTGCTGAAATCCGAACTTCAGGGCCGAAGGTGCACAGGTTCGGCTCCTTAGGAGCATAGAACCGAAGGTGAGGCTCGGTTGTGCATGGGAACCGAGAGGTCTCGCAGGCTGCTCATCAGAAGGGACCGAAGGTCATGATCTCGGACCGAAGGTAGTCCTCTCGGACCGAAGGTGGGAAGAGGTGAGCCGAAAGTCAGGTCTCGGTTCAGCATGATCAGGGGACCGAAATAGACCGAGCGCTCGGTCCATTTCGGTTGAGAGGGTTTCGGTTCTTAGGAGGTTCGGCTCCTAAGAGGGGTTTCGGCTCCTAAGAGGGGTTTCGGCTCCTTAAGGCTGTTTTTCGCGTAGACTTCCGTTTTCGAGCGGTTTTCGACTAAATTAAGGGTCGGGATGCCCCGAGTGATTATAAGAAGTTGAGAGAGATTTTGAGAGAGATTTTACATACTTGGAGAGATTTGACATACAGAGAGAGAATTGGGAGAGATTTCACATTCTTGGAGAGATTTCTCATACAGAGAGAGATTTGGGAGAGATTTCACATACTTGGAGAGATTTAGGAGAGATTTCACCTTCTTGGAGAGATTTCTCATACAGAGAGAGATTTGGGAGAGATTTCACATACTTGGAGAGATCTGGGAGAGATTTCACATACTTGGAGAGATTTCTCCTACTTAGAGAGTTTTGGGAGAGTTAGAGTGAAAGAGATTGGGAGAGGCTTCTTTTGTGACCTTTTTGAGTGTATGGCTTTGTAACGCAAGGTTTGTAAACCTCGTTAAGTCTCGTTATGATTGTTATATGCCCCCGAGGGTTAAGGAAAAATGTTTTATCGAGTAGTCTCATCACTTGCCCTAATTAGGGTTTAGAATTTCCGAACACGTGAAAACTCTAAGTGATACTTTGCATTAAGATTGCGAGTAGTACGATACGAACCATAATGGAAACCCTAATATACCAGGGTTAGATGGGTTGACCGGTTTGACTTGTTGACTTTAGTTGACTTTGACTTGGCCAAAAATTGACGGTTGTCACAGCACCGGTGGCGAGAATTGAAACGGTACGTGTCATCCTAGCCCTTGCAGGTTCTAACGGTTGGCATGTGCATCATCTTAATGTGAAATCAGCCTTCTTGAATGGGAAGTTGGAAGAAGAAGTCTATGTTACACAGCCTGAAGGTTACGAGAAGAAGGGTGACACCAACAAAGTGTACAAGATGTCAAAAGCCCTCTACGGGTTGAAAAAAGCACCCAGGGCTTGGAATGCTTGTTTAGATAAATACTTGAAGAGCCTGGGATTCACAAGGTGTCTTCAAGAATACTCTGTGTACACTAGAAAAAAGAAAGGAGATACCCTGATAGTTGGAGTATATGTAGATGACCTACTGGTCACAGGAAGCTGCCAAGAAGACGTGAAAAGGTTTAAACTGGAGATGAGTGCCAAATTTGAGATGAGTGATCTTGGACTGTTGACTTACTATCTTGGAATTGAGGTAAGTCAACATGAATCAGGCATCACTTTGAAGCAAGAAGCATATGCCAGAACCATTCTTGCCAAGACCCGTATGCTGGAGTGCAACCCCACTAAAAGTCCAATGGAACACAAGGTGAAGTTGAAGAAGAATGAAGATGGGGAACTAGTAAACCCCACAGAATACAGGAGTATAGTTAGAGGTCTCAGGTATCTAACTCACACTCGTCCAGATATAAGCTTTGCAGTTGGTGTAGTCAGTCGATTTATGGAGAGACCAACCATGAAACACCTCTAGGCAGTGAAGGGGATACTAAGATATCTGAAGGGCACTTTAAATTATGGGATAACCTATACTAAATGAGAAAGCAAAATCACTATCACTGGCTATTCTGATAGTGATATGGGAAATGATGAAATTGATAGAAGAAGCACAGGAGGGATGGCCTTTTATGTGAATGGCAATCTGGTCATTTGGGCATCACAAAAAAAACGAGTTGTGGCACTATCCTCTTGTAAGGCTGAATTCATTGCAGCCAAATGGCAGTGTGTCAAGGCATTTGGTTGCGCCGCCTCCTCACTACCTTAACTGGTCAAAACATTCCACCTGCGGTCTTGTATGTTGATAATCAATCAGCCCTTGATCTCATGAAGAACCCGGTGTTTCATGGACGAAGTAAGCACATAGACATAAGGTTTCACTTTATTAGAGAGTGTGTGGAGAATGGTGGGATAATAGTGAAACATATATGCAGCAAGAACCAAAAGGCTGACATTCTCACCAAAGCAATGGCAAAAGTGAAACATGAGGAGATGCGCAACTTGATTGGAGTGAAGCAGGTAGTCAACTATGAATTAAGGGGGAAAATGTCAAAGTAATTCAGAGTTGTGGTAATAACTTTGGTCTCTACACGTTTTTTATTTTTTGTTTAGTAGTACTAGAATGGAATAAGTCAATATCAAATGTGGACTAAGTGGTCCTGGTCTTTAGGTGGTAGTGGAGTCAGTTCCTTATTTTCTGCATTAGTCTAGTTTATATGATGTACGTTGTTGATGTAGACCCAATGTTCTGTTTTGTTTTTCACTTTGAATGTGAATAAAGACGTAATCTTTTGCCCAGATTGTTTTTTGTTCCCTGTTTAATTATTTCTCTGCATTTATACCTGTTTTACCCTTCCCTGTGATAATCACATATTTGTCCCCTGTTAAGTCTACTTTTCTGTCCCCTGTTTCTTGATTTGGTGAAAAGTCCTTGTCACCCTTGCTAAAAGCTAACAGCCGAAGAGGGTGAAGACGAAAGCACCCTCTGATATCTTCGGTGGGCAATAAACCTTCGACGTTGACGTCCCTGATGATTTTGGGGAGATCGGCGCTGTGCTGGTTGAGAATGACTACCGCAACAAGATATATATACAGAAAATTGAACTTTCCGACAAAGTTATCTTCACATGTAATTCTTGGGTTCATTCCAGTCATGATAACCCCCAGAGGAGGATCTTCTTTGCCTATAAGGTTATATAACTGTCCGTATACTCTTGTTTATTAGCAGTTCGTGGTGGTGGCAGCCATTAATAGCCCTTCTTATTAATCTATTCGTAATTTGTACAGTGTTACCTGCCGTCGGAGACGCCAGAAGCCCTCAAGTCGCTGAGAAAGAAAGATTTGGAGTTCATTCGAAGGAGAGCGTAAAGCCTTCGAGAGGATTTAGGATTACGATGTATACAACGACGTTGGGGATCCTGACAATAAGAGATCCGATCTATCACGACCGGTGTCGGTGGCAAGAAATTTCCTTTCCCTAGGCGCTGCCGTACTGGTCGGAAAATGTCCTCCAAAGGTTCATATAACGAAAACAATATATCTTGTTTGCAATTAAAGTTGACTTAAAATTAATTTGCGGAATAATCCATGTTGAATAACAGATCCGTTGACGGAGACAAGATCTTCGGACCCGTTTTATGTACCAATCGATGAAGATTTTTCAGAGATAAAGTCGGTATCATTTGGAGCAAGGACTTTGTATAATATGCTCCTTTCTGTTATACTCCGCATAAGCACGGCTTTGACAGGAAAAGACGAAGACTTTCTTTTATTCCAGGACATAAACTTGCTTTTCGACGAAGGAGTTCTTATTAGTGGTACTGATAGAGAAGTTGCAAGTGTTTTGCCTAGACTTATCCATGAGGTTGCTGATGCAGCAGAGGACCTTATCAAGTTCTCATTACGTACGCTTTTTAATTAAGTCGTTTGTGATCGGTTTCTTATAAAGGTTTTCTATACATTGCAAGGGACACTTTTGGCTCCGTGATGATGAATTCAGTCGACAAATGCTTGCTGGTCTTAATCCATGTAACCTACAGCTGGTTACGGTATATATATCACAACAAATAAAGCTTTTGCATAATAATTATATAATTAGCTAGGGAAATATAATAACGTGAGTGTGTACATTTTGTGTGTAGGAATGGCCATTGATGAGTAAATTGGACCCTAAAGTTTATGGGCCACCTGAATCAACAATCATCAAGGAGATTGTAGTGCGAGAAATTAAAGGTTTCATGACATTAATTTGATGAGGTAACTAATGAAAACAGAATAAGGCCAAAATTAAATATATACAACGCCATTGATTGATGTTGAAAAATCAATCATGTGGTTGTAGGCTTTGGCACAAAAGAAACTGTTCATGTTTGATTACCATGATCTGCTATTGCCCTACGTAAGCGAAACAAGAGATCTTGAAGGGGTAACTCTATATGGTTCAAGGACTTTAATGTTCCTTACTCCTGCTGGAACGTTGACCCAGTTGCCATAGGGTTGACTCATCCGTCATCAGAATGGCAACCACAGTGGAAGCATATCTACACACCTTCTTTGGGTGCAACCAGTTCATGGCTCAGGAAGCTAGCCAAGGCTCATGTTCTTTCTCATGATTCTGGTGTTCACCAGCTTGTTAGTCATTGGTAACTAATTGGTTACCATGCATTTTCTGTGAATTAATACTTAATTTACACATATGTTTGTATGTTTTACCCCAGCTAGATCACATTAATTCATAGATGAGCTGATCATGATCATGATTTGATTTGCGTTGCAGGCTAAGAACTCATTATGCCATTGAGCCTTACATAATTGCCACCCACCGTAATCTTAGCCAAATACATCCTATTGCACGACTACTCCACCCTCATTTTCGGTACACCCTGAAAATAAACGCCCTAGCTCGACAATCTCTCATTAATGCCGGTGGTGTTATAGAGTCGGCATTCTCTCCTGGAAAATATTGTATGCAACTTTGCTCTGACGCCTATGATCAGTTGTGGCATTTTGATCATGAGGCACTTCCAGCTGACCTGGTTAGCAGGTGCATTTCCTAAATTAATTTATGAACTAATTTTCTCGTGAGGCCTATGTATACGGCTGACATGTCTCTTTATCTACATGGTTATATTTTATAGGGGAATGGCTGTTGAAGATGAAACTGCACCACATGGTTTGAAGCTAACAATCGAGGACCATCTATATGCAAACGACGGTCTAATCCTTTGGGATGCCATCAAACAATGGGTTACGTCTTTTGTCAACAACTACTACCCAAAAGCAAGCCTCGTAGAATCTGATGAAGAGCTTCAAGCATGGTGGAATGAAATTCGAACAGTTGGACATGGAGACAAGAAGGACGAATCATGGTGGCCACAACTCAAAACCCAAGATGATTTGATTGGAATCGTATCAATGATGATATGGGTGGCTTCCGGCCACCATTCAGCTGTGAACTTCGGACAATATGATTTTGCTGGTTATTTCCCAAACCAACCAACCATCGCCAGAACCAAAATGCCTAACGATGACCCAACAGATAAAGAGTGGCATATATTCATAAACCGACCTGAGGATGCTTTGTTGAAATGTTTCTCTTCCAAAAAGCAAGCTACCGTTTTCATGGCGATTCTAGACGTTTTATCAACTCATTCCACTGATGAGGAGTATATTGGTAAAACTGTAGAAGGGCCATTTGAGGCGGAGCCAGCTATAAAGAAAGCATATGAAGAGTTTCGTGCAAGAATTAATGAAATGGAAATCATCATTGATTCCACTACTAGAAAACTAAGTAATTACCTAGAATTGGTAGGAAATCCGTAGGAACAAGCGGGTACCTACAGATTTCCTACAAAAAACGGGTTGTAGGAAAAACCCTCGTGGGTAATTTTTCCTACAAATTAGCTATGCATTTCCTATGGAATATTCTGTTACAAATTTAACTACGGAATACCTAGGGAACACGTTAACTACAGAGTACCTACAGATTACCTACGGGTTATTTACCTACGAAACACCTACAAAATACATATAGATTATTTTCCTACAGAATACTTACAAACTGATTTTCCTACAGAATACATACCAACTACTTTTCCTACAGAATACCTACCAACATCTTTTCCTACGGAATACCTACCAACTGCTTTTGCTACAGATTATCTACAGACTTTATTGGATTTTATTTCCTACAGAATACCTACAAGATATTTATTTCCTATAAATTTTTTATGATTTTTTTACCAGCTTTTATTGAATATAATTCCATCAAAAATCTATTGCTATATTAAATTTATAATTTAAAAAATATCCAAATTTTCTACTCAAACTTAATGCAAAAAAAAAAAAAAAACCAAAAAAATAGTTATAATAATAGTCAGACACCATTACATTCATTAACATTAAAATAATCAATAACATAACATTCATACATTCAAATTCTCAAAATACCATTACAATTTCATGACAAAAACTAAGAACTAGTCAATAACATAATATTCATTAAGTGTTTTCAAACAAAAACTAAAAACTACTTTGTGGATTATCGGGCAGGTTGAAATGTCTCAGAAAGGTTATTAGTTGTTGCATTTGCAGTTCCATTTAATTTCACATTTGTTGTATTTGCAAGTTCATTTGATTTTGCCTTTCTTGCGATTGCAAATCATTTGACTTTGCCCTTGGTCCATGGCTTATTGCATTCTTGAGAGTTGATCTCACAACTTGTTTACCTAAAAATGTCAAGAAAACACACATGTAGTTAGTGTAATTCAACTTTAAAGCGTGATTATTGATTTTTTTTATATTTAATTTAAGAATGTGAAGAAAATAAGAATGTGGGACACAATGTATGTGAACCATGTTATGCATCCATACCAAATGATTATGAATGCATATCCTCAAAAGGAAGTATGGTCTCAGAAGAGAATTACACAAATCTCTGGGTTCGGAAGGAAGGTCCTAAGCAAATTTGACTTGGATTGTTTTTTGCATCACTACTACATTTTTCGGAACAAACCAACGCAGCTCACCATCACAGATGCGAACTTCCCCTACATAAATCCAAATGACATCTTGACCATTGTTGCTCATTTCCGAACTCATCAAGATGATCAGATGAGCATGGCTTCATACAGTGTTGCGATGAACTACCTCAAAGATTATGTCGTTGAATTCTGCAGATGCGACTTCGAACTGGCTCACTTGTTCAGAACTGAAAAGTTCTTGGAAAAAATTGACTTCAAGCTTCCTGAAGCTGAAATATTGGCAGAAGAACCAATTGATGAACCAATGTTGGGATATGTTTACCTTCAAAAGAAGATAAACGAGAAGGATTTTTTCCGAGTCCTTGACAAGCATCTTGTCCCTTCAAAATCTCTTCAAAATTTCATCAAGAATGCAGCTAAGTCAGATGCCCCTAAACATGTGTAGTCCAAGTTTATAAGCCAAATCTAATGGTATATTGAAGTACGAGATTGGTTGTTCAGAACTCATGTGTTTATCAAGGAAGAAGCAAACTGAGTTGACTAGATTGCTAAGTTCACTTAGGGGGGGTTGTTGGAACCTGAAAGTGAACCTCTAGCAATCACAAGTTATGAAGATCCGAAGTCACCTGGAGTCCGAGATGTGAAGAGGTGCGAGATGAGTTATGGTACGAGATGGAATCTGTAATGAAGCCTGTTCCGATATGATGCTAAGATCCGAGATTGACAGTCTGTGTGAACATTTATTGTTCTTGTCTTTTGTGTGATGTAACGTTTCATAGGAGTAAGTTTTTTTGTATATTTAGATAATCAGTTGTCAGAAGATGTTTATTATCCAGTCCATAGTTTGTATCACGTTTTGTACGATGAACCTCCTTGACTATTTTAGGAGTGTATTGAATGACAAAAATGATACATATTTGTTCCTCCAAAGATAGAAAATATTCTTCTTAACTCTCTTTCACTTTTCTCTCAAGTCAAGATCTTTCTTAACATTCCTCTTGTTCATTTATTGTCTTTACATTGATTATACTCATAGTTTCGTCATTTAATATTTGAGTACTTTGTTGAATCTTTACTTCAAGTCTCGACTGGTATTACCAGACTTGACTGGAACATATAATTAAGACCAGACATTGATCTTAAGCATTAACTCAAGGTTTGAGTTTTCAAACCTTGTTGCTGCGCATTGTATCTTTGTTCTCACACATATGACCCTACAAGGTTGCAAAGAGTAATATATGTGTGCATCATATTACATAATATGGTTTTAAAAGATGAAGAAAAGCAATATGCACTATGATGAAAACAAAATTTTGTCACTTTTCGGAGGAATATATATTGTTACGCCACAATACATGGCAAACAAAATGTGACTTCCCTATTTTCACGGCCAGAAAAGACCATTTTATTTATGCTTATTTTAGAATAAAGTTTATTTATAAATGCGGAATTTGCTCCCGTCAAAGTATTTCTATGGAATTATTTTTCATTGATTTATAAAAACGTGGGATGTCATAAACGATAAAAAAAGAACATAAGCATAAACAAAACTTACAGTGTCATAGACTAACGATATACACCTCCTTGAATCTCTCATCATTCATGTACCTTTGTACCGCTACCTGTGATATAAAGAAGCTAAGTGGGTCAGGTTGGGAAACTTGGTGAGTAAATAGGGTTTTCAACCCACAATATTATAATTAATGTGTATAATTATATAATTCACATCAAACAATTAACCTGATTATCCATTCCCATTATTCTCACTCCCTGATCCTAACTGATAATCTTAAAGTATTTACCCTAAAGGACCTCTAAGTAAACAATGCTTCCTTGTTGATTCCTTTGCGGCATGAGGTAATAAGATGATCATGGGTTGAAGAGAATACCCACATGAATAATTCATTCATACCTATGGTTCGTAGTCCTATCCATATGAGGTTCCTTAACTTCTACAGGTCGAGGACTTGGTCATGCATAGTTCAGTAACACATACTGGTCGTAGACATGTCCGCGTGCGATTCATCAATGCTTACAGGTCATAGACCTACCCATAGAATGATTTATTTAACACCTACAGGTTGTAAACCTGCCCGTATATGATATACTAACACCTAGATTAGTCAGTGGTCATCATCAATACCCTATTATTTGAATAAATTGCTAGTCCGGTACTACTATAAAATTCTCTGCCTTTCATTATCTTCATTTCTCTTTACCATTCAATACCCCATATATTATTAGTATAAAAATACATGTATGGTTAAAAAAAATCAACTTGTATAATTTCACCTTACACATAAGGTTTTAATCACAGAAAAATAGGCACACATAGCACTTAATTATCCAAATACTTTGTATCTATGCGTAAGATGAAAGTAATTATGCACTTACTTGATAAAAGTGGATACCTCGAAATTTGGGCAGAACTTCATTTTAGTACTTTAGCTTTTCCTCTAACGTGACCTATGTATGAATATCAATAAGTCTTAGTCTTATGTTCCTGGCGATTAATGAATGTCTAGATTCCTCACTAATCCCAATGTCTACATCCAGATCTATCAAGTAAGGAACAACCAGGTAGGATTATATCAAAGGTAGGGTCCGTTTGGTAAACAGAGTATACTGTTTGGAAATCTCACTTTAAACACCTCACTAAATGCATCCTAGAAATTATTATCGTAAGTAGATTAATCAATATTTTTGACTTGGAATCACTGATAAATCTTATTTATCGGTTCATAACAACGACTATGAATATAAATATAAGTTACATTAAAATAATGTTGAGCGTAGCTTAACTTATCGAGATTTTACTGACAAAAGACCGAAAATTTTACTGGCAGAACTCCGGCTTGCTAGCTACTAGATGTCGGGATCTTAGGACTTCGCCAGATACTTAAAACTAATGGAAAATAGGGCTAGAATCGAAGGAGAGAGAGAGAGAGAGAGAGAGAGAGAGAGAGAGACCAATGGAAGGTGTGGGGAATGAAAAGAGTAAATAGGGGTATTTGTAGGGCCGAAATCACCAAATCGCGTCGCACCAAGACCAGGAGCGCATCGTACACTGGCCCTAGTTGGCCGCTGAGGTGTTGACACATGCCCTGCATGCTGTGGTGCGACATGGTTGCTTCTAGAAGGCGCGGCCGTGCCTCATTTGCGTGAGGTGCACTCGGGAAACTTCAAAAATTCAAAACTTGTTCATATGAACTCTGTTTTTGACGTTCTTTATATCCACCTGTAGCTATCGACAAGATCTACAACTTTCGTTTAGACTCCGTCGGTTAGTTCTCAATTTATTTTTTATTTATTATATTTAGCAGGCTTAGACTACTAATCTCCATTTAAAATTCATATATTTTGCATACAACGTCCGTTCTCGACTTTCTTTATATTGATAGATTCCTTTTAACAAGATATTCTACTCTTGTTTAGATTTTCGACTAACAATCAATCGATCTAAAACTCGATTATGTGCTAACACTATTACACTGCATTATTGAAAAATCATCGCTTCCTCTTACGAAGTAAGATTTGGACATTTCCTTTAAGCACTTTCTCGGTTTTACGACTACTACAACCTTCATTTGGATTACTTAGGCTGATAAGCAATCTATCAAGAATTCACTTTTTACGATACGCCGAGTCGTGCCGGTTTAATCGTGAAACTTCGAAGAAGCATAACTTCTTCATACGAGGTCGGATTTCAGCGTTCTTTATATGTGTGGATTCATTGTCACATAAACTACAACTTTCCTTAAGATTATTTATTCTAAATAATCTTCTATCAAAAACTCGTTTTATTGCTTATTATATATTGATTGTCTAGCCCGAATATGCGAGCATTACACATAAGGCACGCACATAACCACAATATCCATCACAAACTTTGTGTTGGTGAAAGCTAATGTACATCCTGTTGACGAGAATTTATATGAAGATATACATATGAAAATTCATCATTGTTTGTCGAGGTTTCCAATGATGATTTGGGAAATGATTGGAAGTAATGTAGTGTCTTAATTTTTATTATTATT